TTACACCACAAAGGTAATGCAACTGTATTCATACAGCCATGACTTCCACTCTATTTGTACTGTTTTCCTTCTCAGGGAATGATGATCAGCAGGTTACCATAGCAAAAGGGCAACGCTTTTATATAGTGCAAGAAAAACAGAAGACCACGAACAGAGCCTTGAGCCACACCATATTTAACCTTAAAGAATTAAGATGTAGGCTAGCAGTTCTAACATTTCTAAACGAGAGCCAGACCACATATTTTTTCAGCTGGTTTCCAGCTAAGAGGATACCGAGATTGATGGTGTTGAAAACCACACTAAGACTCATGAACGATGGAGTCATAGTTCACTGTTTCCTGCTTTGGTGAGCTTTGCTCCAGCAATTCTGGAAATGGACTGAAATGACACGATTCTTGTTGCACATTTGGGCTAATAATGGCTGGAAAATAATTATTTGGAGAATAAATATAAAAAGAACAAAAAGATAGACAATGCTTTAATTATAGACGCTGGATGAAGGTGTCGTTTCTTAAGTGGAACTTCAATGGCCACAGAAATTATAGAGCAGAATCAGCTGTTCAGAAATGTTCAGAAAGCCAAGTGGGCCGTTGAGTACAATCCCTTCCAAAAGATTTTTTTTCATAGCATTTTCACTGCATGTACTGGTAGCTCAAAAGCATATCCAGATTTTGCTCAGACCCCATCACTGTCGCTGGTAGTGACTGCAGGGGAAGGAATGTGAGAAATGTGGAGAGAGGAATTTGACATGTGCTTGGAGGTATGCCTATTAAACACTTAAGGACACTCATTGGTAGATTATCATTTCCAAAGTAAAAAAAAAAGTTAAGTGATGCCCGTGCCTGTTAAAACACTGAAAAGAAGCTTTTGGTCTTTTTTGATCTGTCCAAACAGCACTTTGTTTGAAGGGTATACTTATGGGACTTTCTTTTATCGTTGTGTAAACCTCACAGACAACCTGCCTTTCTTCTTCTTTTATATCCTCCCATGGCAGTCCTCTCTCACAGAATCTGACACTCTAGAAGTGCTTGACTCTCACAAAGTTCTGCATCACTTTTACTTTCGCTGCTTACATCTCAAAATAGATTACTCTCAGTTCTCTGGAGTGCCCCAGAACACTGTCATCACCGTCCTCTGGGAGTTCCCTGTCAGTCCCTTCCCCTACCTTTGCCTGCCGTGCTCTAAAGCATGTATTGGTTTTAATTTGAGGTAGTCTGGAGCCAGACAGGCTCATTTACTCATCAATAATCCTCGGTCACTCTGTCTCTCACCGTAATGGTCAACAAACAACAATAAAAATTAGGATGGGCTTTTTCTTAAAAGCAGGCTGGGGGTAAGAAGGAAGAGCAGCACTGGAGCAGATGAACAGGCTACCGAGCAATAGCAGAAAAGTGGAACAAAAACAGAAGCTGACCATCTATTAAACATGAGGAGAAAATCCCTCATGCTTTCCTACCATGCTTTTTCTGGATAATGGCTCAATTCTTTTTCTATTTGTGATGAATAAATGATGACAGCAGCTTTTCCTCAGTAGTATTACTGATCAAAAAAAAGGTTTGTGAGGGCAGTTTTAAACATAAACAGTGCTCTTGGGAGGATTGCTACTTGTGAGCTTAACTACAGGTCTTTTTTTTCCAGACTGTGTTTTGCTGCACTCCTCCCAACTATAACGCTGCTGTAATTTGTGCTTTGTCTATCTTTGTCTTGGTGGTTGTCTTTCCTCTGGTCTCCATGGCATGCTTTGTTCTTTCCCAGTAATCTGGCACATCTGCACAAGCACCATAGCACTGTATAGTTTACAAATTCAACCATTCATTTGACTGCTATGAGACTAAGCCATGGATATGCTGGTAAACCAGTTAGCCTGACATACTTTAGACTGCTGATTGATCTTAATAGTTCTAGTTAGCTATCTGAGGAGCTTGTGGATTTAAGTTGCTGACTTGACCTTCAGTGAGACTCCTCCAGTGAGTCCATGTTTGTATTCCTTCATGTTCAGATCTTTGAAGGTAGCAAGAATGTATCAAAAAGCAGAGACCTGATACTCATGTGTGCCAAGTGTTGTCCAAGACGAATGTCGATTTACCTCTGCACTGCTTCTGGCCAGCTGTTCTGCACCAGTATAAACATTGGGCTGAACATTATTAGATCAATGTAGCTGGGTGTAGGAATTGCCTGCATTGACTGACTGAATTGTGGGTCACATCTGCAATCCCACACTGAAATTCAAGTCCTGATAAGCCACAAGAACTATCTCTTAGCTAAGACACCAGAGAATTTAATACTGTTAATGAAAAGGACCATATCAAGTAATGAGGATGCCATGAATGTGAAATTCTGGGCTGATCCCAATATTAAATGTACACTGTGTAAAATCTTAGTGACACTTAATGCATAAAGTATCATACGATGTGAGAATGTGGTCAAACTGTTTATCAGAAGATACGTGTGATTTTAGGACACTCAAGGCTAATATTAGCTGGCGTCATGTTAGCCTATAAGCAGTTGTTATTGTTGTTTAGCTGGCTTGTTGTCAGGCGTCCAGAGACAGGAGGGCTACATGTCCGTATGTAATTATGACAAAATAAGCAAGTATGTTGATGCATGTTTTCATGTGTTACGAGTTCTGAGTTCAGTTCAAGAGATGAAGCTTGAGGTGGAGAGGATGAATTGGACATGAGGAAGGAGAGAAAGCAGTGAAGGAGGCAGATGACGAGGACATGGAGAAAGACATAATGAGAAAATTATACATGTACAAATATTAAACCTTTGAATTAATTAAAAGGCGTATTATGCATGTGCCCGGTCTCTAACCACATAAATAAAACCAGATTAGGGGGAACTTTGATATCTAACTGAGTAGGGCTGTTCGATATAACATCTATCGTTTCATTTTACGCTATCGTTTGTTTCGTGGTGTCGCAAAATAAACTGTTTACGGCAATATTTTTTCATCGTTTTGATGGTCACTGTAGTGGCTATATTAATGTAAAAGTTCTCTCTTTCTCTTATATTTAATATAACCACACTACGGACGGACAAGCACTTGTTTTTATGCGTTTATGTTAGCAACAGCGACGGTAACACCATTGCGTGTCCGCTTGTTTATGTTCCACATACACCTTTCTCAATAAAGCTCAAGATCCTGTTGAGACTTTTCAAAATAAACTGAATCACGTGAAAGAGCAGATTATTTACAGATGAGAATTAAAAAAGAGCCGCCAGGTGCTAAAAAATAAACTTTAGACTCAAACGTTAGAACAGGCTTTTCCCCGCAGCACGCCGTGTAATAAATACTCAAAGAAAACGGCGGCCTTTACAACTTATGTCTAAAAATGTATAGTTTCATGCATCGGTTAAAACACTCGACTCCAGCTACATGACGCGCAGCTGGAAACACTTCCCGCAAGTCGAGCTACCCGAGATTCACAGAATTTACAGAAAATGTTACATTTTTGAGATTTATATCGTTATCGGGACGATAGAATTCTTATATCGGGATATGAGATTTTGGTCATATCGCACAGCCCTACAACTGAGTTACTGTATTCCAGATGGTTGAGCAACATGGTGGTTTCCACAAACTGGTGACCGCTCCTTTAATATTTTCAATAGAATAATTCTAAGTTAATAAGAATGCATCAGTTTGTTGGAAGACTGTACCTTTAAAAAGAAAAAAAACGTGTCTTTTTGCTTGTTTAGTTTAGAAAACAAAATGAAATGACCACACTAAATGTCATATAATTTGCTAACACACAGTCAACAAAGCTGATATTGGCTGATATATTAGTCCATCTCCACTTTATAACATTTTTAAATACACTTTGAGTTATAGAGGGGTGTCTGGCACTTTTACAAACAAGAAAATTACAGTCTAGGAGACAAGCATGAGACTGATAGCATGGCACTAATATTAACTTACACAGCAGCTTCCTCCAACATGCTCAACCACTTCTTATTATGTGCGAGAAGGGGAGAGAGGCACAGAAAAACAGTCTGGATTTAAGGTCCCAAAGTGCAATCACTAGATGAGCAAGAGTCACAGCCAGCTTGCTCTTGCATTATTTTCCAAAAGATTAAACTGCAAATTTGTGTCATTCAAGGCAAAATATGAGGAATAATAAAGGAGCAGTAAATGCAGTCATTTCAGCACCCCATCTTACACTTGACTTTTTTTTATACGAGGACAAAATGTTAAAACAGCTGATGAAGGACAGCTCAGGAGATTTTAAAGTCCAAAATACCAGCATAATCCTGTGAGTGTGATTTATGGCAGTCTAATCCTATACGCTCGTCCAGACACAAGCTTGCGGTCGCTATTAACACTTGTGCTGCTTCGGGGGTTTTCATGAAGCCAGCGCAAAACAGCTTTGCAATTTGTTCACCACACCCCATCTGCTTCATCAAGCAGCAATATTCCCTTTCTCACCAGCACGACTTGCAAATCACATCCAGAGCGGGGCAAGCTTGTCTCCTTTTACAGAGCGGTGGTTTCCTTGCATTCACTGCGGCCGGCCGGGATATGCTATCTAGACAATACCTGAAGGGGATGCTGAACAATGACTTAATTGAGAAAAGACACAATTGAGTTCACCTACACATTCCACAGCAGATGTGAGGGCGACAGAGCCTCGACAGAGGGCCACTGGTGCTGCTGGTTATTAATAGAGAGTCAATGGGGGATTCTGCTTTGTTTAGATACAATTGGGGTCTCCTGAATGGGACGGCAATGACAGGATATGCATGTGTGAAGACAAAACCACGAGCAGAAGAAAAAAATAACAGAAGCAACTTAAGAGGAAATAGCAGAAAAAACACACTAGTTTATACCTCAGTGTTTCTTTAATAGCAACAAGAGTTCAAAATAAGTTAAAAAAAAAAAAAAAAACGGTCCATGATCCCGACCCCTCCAAAAAAAAAAATAAATCACTCACTTCACTCATTACATGAATGACCTTTAAAAAAAATCAGACATCACACTTCAAACACACCGTACTTACAGAACTGGAGGCTCAGGCTGAGGATGGCCAGTGCTGCTCCACCTACCACCACCAGGAGGAGGAAGCGGTTACGAGCCAGCATCTTGTCATGTGATCATGTGATTGGTCTGCTGCGCCCCTGTCCGTCAGCCATCCAGACCTAGTCCAATCCCCTGCAGTCTGGACACAGAGCCAGGGAATCCATGTCAAACAGTATCTTTACCTTTGCCTGACATCCCTGAAAGTTTCATGCAATAAACTTGTTTCTCCTTGTGCTTCACAACATTTCAAATATTTCAAACATATCAGCAGATAAAGGTTTTCCACCCTTTATGTCATGAAGTTCACAGATATAATACACTTGCCCACATGAAACAAACGCTGATGAATGGACACCTCACGAAAGCACAGCTGAGCCATTCTGGCACAAGCTCCGGACTGTTTCAGGAGAATCAATTTGAGCGTGCATCAGATGTGTTGTCTCTGCTGGAAATACTCCAAGCGGTTCAGGCTAACTGGACAGCATGTGCAGGCGCTGAAAACACCACGTCCACTCGCTTGATGTGAATTTACACCAGACAACCACATTTGTCTGTCACATAGATGTAGTACTAAGACACTTTTCTGAAATCGTCATCTAATGTGATCATTTTTCAACTCATCCATGGAGATGGGACAGAATGAAAACACATTTAACTGCCCAGCGTTCTTGGTGTCATGATGCATCTAGTGCTGGTTTGTCATTAATAAATCAGACTTTGGTTGCTGCAGCAGAAAAAAGACAAAGACAAAATTTCATCGCACAAAACAGTGGTGCAGATCTACACTTTGCTGAAACAGAGCAAAAGTGCAAACTGGTTTGCAAATGCAGGGCATCATCGTCACTTAGAAAGTGTATGAATCAGAATACTTTATTAATCCCGAAGGAAATATGCTTATGCATATTTGCTCTCTAAATTACTTAATGAATATTAAGCTATTGATGAGCTATATTAATGAGCCTCCCAAGGCATCAGTCCTCTGGCTTATTGCTAGTTACCAGCCAGCGAGCTTGTGTACTTTATTATTTCAGCATATTGAAGATTGCTGTTCTTATTCTGGTCACACTTGGCTTCATTATTTGTTTACAGCACAGCTACAGTTGCAGGTGAACTTCAAGTCAAATGGATGTTACATGTCACTGGCCAGCAGCAGCCTTTATTCAGTTTGAATTTTGCTGTAAATGAATATGGATCAGTCAGTATGGAGTAATGCTGCTTTAAATTCTTGATGATTTGGTGGACTACCTCTACTGCATGTGGTTAGGAGACTGAAACGGTGTTTGGTAAACATAGCTGATCCTTTGCCCCGGGTTCAATAACTAAAGAGTTCACCATAAAACCAGTGTATTATACTGAAATCTGTGATTATTGATTCTGAATTATACTTAAAAACTGCAATAGGTCATTCAACTAATGAGACTGTTTTAAGGCAAGACTGTAATGTGTAACCTCCTAAATTACGGTTTGCAAATTTAAAAATGGTCGACTACCTTTGCAAACAGGATATTCAATTAATATTACTGCAAGGCACTTTTACGCATGGGCATTATGATCAGAGGCTGAGCCCACCTAAAGGTTTCCTGGAATCGCCCCTTTTTTGGGTGGTCTTAAAAACAGAAGTATGACATAACTCAGTATGACTGCATTTTAGGGTTGGGGGGGGGGTGTCTACTGGATGTTTCGGCATACATACACTTATATTTAATCCAGTGGCGGAGTGGGAGGGGTGGCTTACTGGGCTTAAGCCTGGGTTGTTTTTTCAGAAGCCCGAGGTCTTTTGGAGTTTAATTTTTTCATAGTTAGATGCCTGGCTGACAACTGTATAAAACCACACTGTGGGAATTTATGACTGTGCGTAAATCCCCCCTAATATTGGTATGACCCGAGCTCAGACACTGAGCGAGGGGGCGGGGGGAGCTGCTGCCTGCGAGTGCGCTGTTGGAGAAGCGCAGCCAGGCAAACAGAGGAGAACTGAAGTTCGACCAGGTACCAAAGCAAATCATTCGTACTGTACAAATAATGTAAATATGACGGTGTATCACAAAAGAAACGGATCACTTGACCCATATTACGTTACTTGCTCTTCAAGTGAATCAACAAATGGCGAAATGAAAAGCCGAACAACAACAATGCTGTTTCTTTAGAGAGTCTTAGCTTACGTGTGTTTATTTCATATTTTCAGTTGTTTCCCACCACGGCTAAATAAATCGGTTTCAGTATTGTACTGATATATAAGAATGGACATAAGGGGCTTCTTTCAAAGAAAAAACTCTGGTAATGTTATTTTATATATTATG